CAGCCGTTTAGGCTACAAACGCTAACAAACATCTATCCATCCATCTAAACTTTCGCATTTATAATATTAGTAAGATTAGTAAGATAGATACTTGCATTTACTTATTATATATTTTTCTTACACAATTATTCTAATAATTGTATGTCATGACAGGAGCTGGAGTGCATGATGAAGTGACATCAAAAGCATTTTGTGAAATGCTCAGAGACTTGGTGAAGTCAACTCAACATGAAAACCTCCGCAATAAAATTTTAGAACTCATACAAGCTTGGGCATTTGCATTCCGGAACTCACCAAAATACAGAGCTGTGCAGGTAAGCATTATTATGTTTATATTTTTTCATTGTGTCAGTAAAATAAATACTACTATTTATTTTTGCGGGTTTTATGTTTAACTTTATGAACATGTTTTAAAAATTCTAAATCAGTTAACTTCACTTGCCTTGTAAAACAGTACTGTGTTGCAAAACTGCTAGTCTGTAAAGAATTAATTCATTTCTGCTTGAGTAAATCTATTGTCAAGATCTCTTTATAAATTTGTTTCATAGTGAATTTATGTGTTTCAAGACTCTGAAAGGTGAATAATAAATAATTACTATTAGTATAAAATAGCATTAAACATATAAACAATTTTCTAGTTATTCCAACAACATAAAAAGTAGATGTCACCTGATAGTGTGTCACCTGACACAGTCAGCTATTGATTTCATAATTATAATTGAATTAGAATGTTTTCTCTGCTGCTTTGTACTATGTGAAGGATATTTGTGGTGATTCTTTTAGTGATAGTTTAATAGTAACACTCTTATATAACTTAAAATTCACTTGTATCACATCATTCTGCACTTTATGCTGAGTAATGTATTATAGAATAACCTTGACCTTCATACTACCTTACATTACACCTTGTGCCAATAAATGAAATACATAAATATTTAAAATTATTATTCATGGATATGTTGTGCATTTTTCATGAAATAAAATAATGTGAATAAATTTTGTGTGTGAATTTATAATTTTATTTAGGTAAAATTATTATTATTAGGTATAAATTTAGTGTTCTTATTTAAAATTGTATTCTCATAATGGTAAATGGCTTCCTCTTTAATTTTTTTCACCTTTATGTTATCAGTCAATTGAATGAGTCACATCATTACAAACAATAGATATACTGAGAGTGGAACAATGTTTAGTGAAGTTTGTTACACACAGTAAATCTTTGTGCATTAGCAGTGAAAATTCTTCATACAAACTCTGTATTATTGCAAGTGATTTAATTAACAGGACACAGTGAACATTCTCAAAGCGGAAGGATACAAGTTCCCAGTGCTAAAGGAATCTGATGCAATGTTTGCTGCAGATACTGCACCGGAATGGGCCGATGGGGAAGTCTGTCACAGGTTGGTTTGTGTTTATAGCAATTATAACATACAAAAAAGATGCTACGAATTTTCTAAGATTTTAGTACAGAAAATGTACTACGTGGCAAACACAACCATCTTGAATAATGAGTATTTATCAATGTTTATTTTTCATTAAACATAGATGCAGATAATTAATAAGCTTATGACAATTGTAATGAATATTTAACTTTGTTAAGGTGCCGAGCTCTTTTCACGTTAATAATACGACGACATCATTGCCGAGCTTGTGGTCAGGTGTTTTGTCAGCAATGTAGCTCAAAAACATCCACCCTGCCTAAGTTTGGTATTGAAAAAGAGGTAACTTAGAGTTTATGATTTATATTAATGTTATTTATTAAAATAGAATGGAAGATACTTAGTAACTTAGTCTCAATAATATTACCAAAACTTCAGAATCAGAGCTAAAGTAGCAGTTTTATTCTAATTAAATAAATAGTTCAAACAGACATACTAAAATCTTTGCCAACATATGTCAGTTAGCATGTACAGTGATATATTTTTCACTTTGATAGTTAAATGAGGATAATTTTATTTGCAATAAGCATTTTCACAGGTTCGAGTATGTGATGGATGTTATGATAAAGTGAGTCGTCCTCCATCTGCCACTATCAAGCCTAAAGCACCGCCTACTGAATCCACTAGTGCTACTCCAAATCAGGTAGGTTCAAAAAATTTTAAGATTTACGGCCAGTCCCACCATTGGCTACTAGAGGCTCAGATTATTTAAAACTGATGTTTACATTACAATTTGGTGGGGCTGGACCTTACTATGGTCATTTATAAAAATATACAGATTATAAACATAATACACGTGTGAGTTAACCTACAATGGGCCAGTGTGGTAGACTATGGCCTCATTTCTAGCTTAAGGTAGGCTCCGAGACACTCAGTGGGGACATATAGCAAGATGATGAATAAATAACTGTTCGTAATCAAAACATTCATAGATCAAGTGGCCATATATCAATTACCTTGTAGTATGCACTTGTGTATAGATTTACAAGGAAATTAACTTCACTTTGACTTTAACATGAAAAAATTATAGTGACATTGTAAGTGTGTGTATATAGTAAAAGGTTTTTCTTTTCAAGTCTAGGAAATTGTATAGAAACTAAAATGTTTTATGTAATCAATTTATTTACACATTTCATAAGAGATTTTAAATTTTAAGCACATAGTGATTTGAAAGTCTTAATCTGTACTTATTTGTATTCTTACTTTAAATTTTTTTATATCACAAGATAGATTGTATGTTTCACTAGACTCTTACTTGGCAGTATGCAGTATTACATAAACAGTAAGAAACCAGTAGTTTCACTATTGATACCTTATTAATAATGTTTTTCAAATAACACTAGACCAATTGAGCATAAAAATTTATTACTATCAGTCATAAGATTCACCCGGCATTTCACCACCTGGCACGAGCATAGCGATGTTATTGCCATTCAACAAGATTTGATCCAATTTGGTTATTTTTCTTCCTTCTGGTGTTGATTCATATTCCGTAACGTCGTCCAGTAACATATTTACGAAATCGTCGAATCCTTGTAATGTTCCCACCATTTCTTTGTCATTTTTCATAATAATATGTATTCTCGAACCAATACACTTATCTACAAGTTCCAATGGCAACAAAGTATTCGGGTTTGGCAGCGATTGTGACATTTTTTCGTAAATACTAGACAATTATTAAAGTAAAACGCTACTAAAATGCGACTAAAGGTAAAATTCTTTAGTTTAAATAATATTTTGCCATTCACGGTCGCGATCGTGTGGTTGTCATCAGAGGTTATTGACTTTGACAAATGGCGACTTGTTTGCTAGCAAATAGCAAATTACGCACATGAAGGATGAAAATTAAAATAATCAGCTTAAATTATTAGTTTAGTATATTTTTTGGTTATTTACACCTAAATGTTATGCTCATTATTTTTTAATAAATCGTAATTTCACTTACTTTCTTTTTTGTGTCTGGCAATCAAATATGTCAAGTACGTACGTAGCAAATGCAATGTTACCATAAATGCATTATTTGCTTAAATCTAAGGGATGCTGTAAAAGTTTGTACCTTCTACAATCTTATACCTCAAATTTGATATCGGAATGCCGAAAATATGCCTGAAATGCACGGTAATCACACGCAACTTTTTATGATTAAGTATCTATGATTGTAGTAATGTTTCAGTTAATTTCTAAGGTTTATCTACATAGTTATCTTCGTTGTCGACCACCTGCATACACATTTTAAAAGCTTTAAAAAAACCAAAACGAATAAAAACATTACACGTTACTTGATATAATAATGCTCAATTAAAATTATTGAAAGCAGATTAATTTGATCTAGATGAAGAGTTAATATTGTTTTTTTTTACATTATCGCAATCTTTAAATTGTATATGGTAACAATTGTTAATGTAATTTGGGAGTTTTTTTCAAGATACTGGCAACATCGGTTCTGTCAGTTTCAAACTTTTAAATTGAAGTTGTTTTAACGGTAACGCATTCGAATGTAAAGAAGTTTAAAGTTTTTCTTTAAAAATGGAGAAGACTTACGTGAATTTTTTTCGCGGTGATAACTATTTTTCATCTACCGAAAACTTCCGTGTAAAAGAGGAACCGGTGTCACCAAAACAAGATGATTTTTATTTTATGGAAGATTTTGATTTTGCGTCCTATGCTGGTATGAAGAAATCGTTGTCAATGAATGACATCACTGCTCTTAAAGATGAATTGACGAAACCAGATGCACAATGCATGAAAGAAGAACCTAGATATCGCAGACCTACTGGCAGCAGTAACCACGATTTATCAAGAGCAAAGTTTGTGTCCTTAGCGGAATCCGTTTATCATTATCAGAGAGATACACCAGGTCGGTTCCATTCAACGCGACCCCAGATTTTCCGATCGCAGTGTAATGTAGGCCCGCTTAGTCTCACTGTAGCCCAATCTCCAATGCTACGTTGTAAAGCTAGATCGCGACCAATACACGTCATATCTCTGAAAGAAAAAGAAGAAATGTTAATAGAAGAAATGAAAAATTTCAAAATTAAAGCTAATCCTATACCTAAGGCAATCTTCAATGGACCAAGTTTGCCAGATGTTCCTAAGAAGTCTGCAACAAAACCGGAACCATTTAAACTAACAGAAGTACAGAAGAAACCACTTCCACAGTCCCCGCTTGCTGTTCAGAATTTTAAAGCGCGCCCTGCTCCTAAACATATCTTAGAAAAACCACAACTGGCACCAAAGTTACCTATTGAATGTATGAAGCCAAGGTTGAACTGCAAACGAAGTGAATTGGCTGAATGTTTAAAGTGTGATAAAAACATCAATAAGGTTGTAAAGGAATCTGAAAATAAACAAACATGTAAAAGCGTTCCTCGAGATGGACCTTTACGACTTGAGCCATTCTCATTCGAAAAAAGGGATGAAGAAATTAAAAAACGTAAGGATGAGAGGATAAGACAACAATTAGAAGAAGAGAAAAGATTAGCTTCTCTCTTTAAAGCACAACCATTGCCTGCGGTAGTTAAGAAACAAATGCAACAAGCAACTAGCAAATCCAGCGAATCCAATGCTTCATCTGAAAACAAAGAAAACTGTACCAGGTTTGAAGCTCGGCCACCAGATGTGTTATATAAAAAACCATTTAAACCTGTTCTCCAATCAATTCAGGTGGTAATACCGGAGCCATTTGAATTAATAACAGAAAAGAGAGCTGTGGAGAGGGAGAAATTTGAGCAAATGTTGAGAGAAAAGGAAGAAGAGAGGGAGAAGATAAGACTGCAAATGGAAGAAGAACAAAGAGAGGCGGAGGAAAGAGCTCAAGCCGAGCTTAGAGCTAGACTTATACATCATGCTAAGCCTGTGCCAAAGGCAACTCCATTTATTATACAGAAGTGTACTGATGCAATAACAGTACCAATAACACCTAAACTCATGAAGAGAAAACAAAGAAAATAATTTCTTTTATCCAGGTGATGAATTTGTGAAAATATTTGACTGACAACTCTGCCATTGATGTACTTGACATATCACCTGTCCATATTAACTATGTGACCAAGATATGAGAACTTTTGATATAAAAAAATTATAATTGTGACATTTTAGTTTTAATTATAACCTATGTTATTTTAGAATTAACTATCAATAATTGTGTATTTACTCTACAAGATTTATAATACTTTTAACTTAAACTTAATTTTGACGTTAGTGCTTTGATGATTATTATTTAGGTTTTATGTATAAAAAAAAATAAAATTTATAAACGAAAATTGTTTTATTATTTAATTGATTTTTTAATTGAATGCCCCTGGTAATACATAGTCTGTTTTTTTTTATTTAATTACACTTAAAACATTTGAGTATAATATTGTGGTAACTTTTATCATTCTAATTAAGAAAAATAAGAAGATTTGTAATGTACATTAACTAGGTCAGGGGTTAATAACATGTTGAGTGACAATGGTTAAGAAAAACTAAACTAAATTAAAAACAACTCTTATAGCCACATGAAAAAACTAAAGAAGAGTTGCAAGAGGAGGAGGAATTGCAGCTGGCAATTGCTTTGAGTCAATCTGAAGCTGAACAGAAGGAGAAAGAACGAAGATCTCGCTCCCTTGTGGCACCCGAAACATCTTTGCATCCCACTAGTGAGTTATAACAATTAATTAGCTTGCACCCACCACTCCGCCTGGAATGTACCTACAAAATTAGGTAGCCCATGTGTTTTTCCAGACTATACTCTACATATGAAAAATATCATCGAAATCTGTTCAGCCGTTTAGCATGCAAATTCTAACATCCCATCAATCCAAAAAGAATTATTGCTAATTATGCACTAATGCTAGGGACACTACGCAATAATAATTTTTAGGGGCATAAATATTATGTTGACATTCTGAGCCCAATCCCAAGGCCCTCCAGATCACATGTACACTAATATTATAAAGGGAAAATATTGGATTTTTGTGTGTATTGAAATAACTCAAAAACTACTTGGCCTATTTCAAAAATTCTTTCTCCATTAAAAAGATTTGTTATGACTGATTAACAAATGTTACATTTTTTATTCTTTTTTTCACGTGGACGAAGTCCCGAGCAACAGCTAGTAAATAGATAAATTTGGATTTAATTGCAGTATCACCGAGCGTGTCGTCGGTGAGCGCGTCGCCGGAACAGAGCGCGGCGGGCAGCTCGGAGCTGGCGCGCTACCTGGACCGCGGCTACTGGGAGCAGCGGCTGGCGCGCGACGGCGCCGCGCCCGCGCCCACCGCGCCCTCCTCGCACGCCTCGCACGCCTCCCACGACGCCAGCGAGGTCACATTTTTATATCATTAACAAATGAGCAAGTGGTAATCTAAACTCAATAGGGAAGCAGCTGCTGTTTATAGACAATTGTAGATGTATATATAACTTTAAACAGTCGTGATTTTTACAAATATAATGTTCGTAATATACGGGTTTCTTGGTGCATGCAACTGTGCCGAAATATCGGGAGCTAAAACAATTCAATCGTGGTAAGAAACCCGTATCTTACGAACATTACATATATATACATACATAATAGAGGGATTTCCCCTTTAGCATGCATGCCCCCTATTTTCAAGTCCATTTCTCCTTATCATTCTGACAGTCTACTCTTAGGCAAACGCATTTAGTTATATTATCTTTTTTAAATGGAGATATCTATTAAATTTTTTTTTTATTCATTCACATCTTGTTGTCTCCACATATCCCATTTAAATAAATTGTATGAAAATTATTTCAAAGCTAAATGATTTTATTGAGTTATTACAAAACTTGACTACAGAGATATAAATGACAATTGTATGCATTAATTGTTTTTTTTTACAGCCGGAATTTTCAAAGCCATCTACGAACAAAGCCCAAGAAGACGATGCCGGAGACAAGGAGATTGATGAATTTGTCGAATCCCTCAAGTCTCAGGTTGAGATATTTGTTAACAGGATGAAGAGTAATTCTTCTCGGTATGTTTTACACAGCATTTTTTAGTACACATATTTTGATCTTACTAATGATAAATGCAAAATTATAGATAGATGGATGGATTTGTTAGAATTTGTAGCTTAAACTGCTGAACAGATCTCGATGAAATTTGACACAGACGTAGAGGACAATCTGGAACAACATATAGACTACTTACGTTTGTTTTTTTATATTTTACGTATTTGATTAAGGGCTAGTCACGCTTGACGTCGGGTAGGCTCCAAGGCCCTTAGTGGGGACGTATAGAGACCTGGTATACATTTATTCAAATTAAAGTACCACAAATTATGAATTTCCCATTAGTTTCATATAGTTTTTTACATTGTCGTTAGGGGTAGAAAGAGATGGATGTATTGCGTGAAAGGTGACATGATCAAGAAGGGAGTGATGACTGAGATGACGTATGATAGTTATGTGGAGGACAGAAACCTGTAGCGCCCTACGGGCGTAGAATAAGGAGGAAGATGAACAAATGTATAATGTTGATTACACAGAGGTCGGTCTATCGCCAACGACACGTCGGTGCAGACGTTGTTCATGAACATCACGGCGATGCACTCGCGGCTGCTGCGCTACATACAGCAGCAGGACGACAAGCGCGTCTACTTGGAGAGTCTGCAGGTATATACCTCCTCGGATATCTCGCCGGCAGCGACAACATATTTTAAATCACTTATACCATTTTATCTTTGCTGAGACGAGTTTATAATTTAATTTTAATTTAATAGACAGTTTTATAAACTGCTAATGTCGATAGAATAAGTCCATTTATTTAATTTCTTTTTTGTGGCACTAAAATTCGTATTCTATTCTATTCTATTCTAAATGTAATTCGCATTTGAGTGTTTGGCATCTGCAATAAACAGAATCGGAAGCAATAATCAATGACATTTGTGATTAAAGTTTTTTTTTCAGTTCAATTTGAATTATGAATTATATCGTATTTTTGTATGTTTATTACTGAAAATGTGTCCTATCCATCCCTACCCACCACCACCCGTAGCCCCACCGACCTCGACCCTCAGGTTATACTGGCCGAATCGCGGGAGCACATGGTCTGACCACACCTTGACTCTCTACAAGTGATATTGTGACAAGTCTCCAAAAAGAGAAATGTGTGTTTGTGTCCAGGATAAGGTGACGCAGGTGCGCGACAGCCGCGCGGCGCTGGACACGCTGCGCGCGGAGCACTCGGCGCGCCTGGCCGCCGCCGCGGAGGCCGCGGAGCGCCAGCGCCAGCTGCAGATGGCCGCCAAGCTGCACGCCATGCGCAAGAAGAAGCACGAGTACCTGCAGTACCAGCGGCAGCTCGCACTGCAGAGAGTACAGGTACAATAATATACAAAAATATTTAACAACAGGAGACATTTTTTCACCGGTAACTTCTTTGAAAGGGACTATGTTGTCATGTTTACTATGCCTCATGTCCTTATATTGGCATTTTTGAATTTTACAGTATTATAATAGCTCTATCTTTTTTAATAAACTAAACAGTGTCACAAAATGAAACATTAAGGTTTAATTTTATTTAGCGACACCTATTGGTAATAAATAATATTGACATGTGGTTTTGAGGACCTATCAACAGATAGTTAGTTAGGATTAGTGGACCATGTGAAAAATGTCTGAGTGAAGTGTCAACTGTAAATAATTATCTTGATACATAACTTTAACGTGTGATCTTGTTGTTGTCAATAGGAACAAGAACGAGAAATGCAGCTTAGACAGGAGCAGCAGAAGCACCAGTACATGATGTCTGCGAACAGCTACTACATGCCAGGTGTATCCATGCATCACTACCAGCCGAATTTCCCCAACCAGC